ACAAGACCAATAAAAAGGAGAAAAGGTCTCAGGTTAATTTACTCTAACCCTGCCTAAAAGAATTTCAAGTTGTTTCTTATATACCATTATAAAATTAAGACATGTGGTCATCAAAGGGCAATTTGTTAGACAACATGATGATAAATGGCAGTACTCTTGTTTATAAGAAACGGTCAACACAAACACCAAGCGCGCTCACGCTCAATCAAACATAGCCTCAATCATTAGGAAAGACAGTGAGAATTGATTAATCTTCACTTTTTAAGGTGCTTAGAATAAAACAACATTTAGACGTTAAGCCTAGCTGCATTAAGTTGGGATTTTAATAGCCATAAACTAACTTAAACCCTGGAGTTTTTCATACCTACAACTTTCAGGTAGAGCAATAGGGTGTGACGGTTTGTATTAACTGATCAGCTAACGTGCTGTTAGTGAGAAGAAGAAAAATTAAATTTCACACTCAAGATCACATTTTTCAAGGAAAGATACCGTAACTGAGTTTTAAGTTGTTTTTGTTTTTTTTTTATAAATTAATTCAAAATTCTTTCTAGTGCGTTCAAACAGCAGCCTCGAGAAACGAATTAGTGACATCATTCGTAATACAGATACTGATCACGACATCGGGAAGAGTTTTTGTTTTGTTTTGAATTTCGCGCAAAGCTACACGAGGGCTATCTGCGCTAGCCGTCCTTAGTTTAGCAGTGTAAGACTAGAGGGAAGGCAGCTAGTCATCACCACCCACCGCCAACTCTTGGGCTACTCTTTTACCAACGAATAGTGGGATTGACCATCACATTATAACGCCCCCACGGCTGAAAGGGCGAGCATGTTTGGTGGGACGGGGATTCGAACCCGCGGCCCGCAGATTGCGAGTTGAGCGCCCTAACCACCTGGCCATGCCGGGCCCTGGAAGAGTTAAAAGACAGAGTAATTATCAGTGAAACGAAGCTTAAATCTTTCATTGCCATCGGCACATATACAGAACGTACTATAATGTAATAGCTATACAAACTTTGTTTTAGCCTATAAAAGTGTCATATTAAGTGTATGTGAGTTTGGAATCGTGTACCACCACAAGGGAAGTGTAACCCCTTCAAACTTTCCAAAGTTTCTCAGTTTAACATAAGTAGAGGAGTAGACTAAATTAACCTATCTTTAAGAACATTGAAACACTATTATTATCGTATCCAAGTAGAAGTTTTATATTGTATATTTGTTTGTTTTTAGTGCAAAGACACACTAGGTAATCTGCTGTGTCCACCGCGAGGAATCGAACCCCAAATTCTAGCGTTGTAAGTCCGAAGACTTACCGCCGTCCTACCGGGGGAATAGAAGTTTTAAAAGCATACTCGGCTAAAACCGTGAAATCGCAACTGTAGGCTGTTCATATTTATTTGTCAAGTACGCCACGATTCACGAATGATGTCCTTCGGGTTAACTAGACCGTATGACTACCTTGATTTAAAACAAGTTATTTAGGTAACCTTTTCTTATATATATTGAAATACTGTTATATGAAATTACACTGACGTTATTTCATGTACAGTTCTTTATAACTACCAATGGTAATTTTTTTTGTCAAGATTAAGATTTAATACCAACAATCTGTTTTCTGTGTAAAGATTACAAAACCTGATAATTTTCATATCAATGTTTCAAGCACTTCTTACCGACTAGATTATGAGCTGTGGTCGAGCTTTCCAGCGGCAGCAGAGAGAGGCACACAGTAACTTCAGGCTGTACCTAAACTTAGGGCTCATCAAGGCGTAGATGATAGGCTTCCAGATGCTGTTCAAGACGCCTAGCCACAAAAGACAAAAGTGTAAATAGTGGGAAGTCACGGGCTCTTCTGCCACTTGTTCATAAATTCGGAGTAAAAACCAAGGAATCCAAGAAACTGCAAAAACCAAAATCAGCACGAAGGCCATCATGTGGTCTGGGTTTGAAAGGTTCTCGCTCATGGCGGTGGCGTACTCTTTCTCCTCTTCAGTCATGCTCTGTCGTAGTTTGTGCATGGTAGAAAAGATATAGAAGTAAGAGTAAACAACGGTTGCGATACTGGGCACCAACACCAAAACTCCTAGAGTGGTGCTGTATGGCAGCATGTTACCGAGCCCAAGAAGACACACAAATCCATCACGATAGAAGAGGCCTTTGGAAAATCCCAGAAGCGGTGGACAGCACAGAAAGATGGATGTTAGCCAAGTAAACACCATCCAACATTGGCATCGTGTCCTTGTCTGAATGGTGTCGTAGCGAAGTGGTTTGCGAATAGCCAGGTACCGATCCACAGCAATCCACATGAAAGTGTACATGGTAACACTCCATAATGTCAATTCTACGAAGCCAGTTATCCTGCACAAAAGATCTCCGTATATCCACTCTCTCGTGATAGCCGGGTATACAGACAAGGGAAGGATTAGCACTCCGCAGAGAAGGTCAGCAGTGACCAGGGACAGAATATAGTAGTCCATAGCTTCCTTCTGCACAGATGAGGTCAATATGGTGGCCAGAGCCAGTACGTTGGTCCCAATCACCAACACACATATAAGTAAGATGACCACTGCCTCGACAATTCTACCAGCTGTTACCACAGTTGTTTCATCACTGAAACCGTCTGACCTTACAATCATCGTTGTGACCGGTCGTCGAGCAGGACAACACGAAACTGAACTAACTGGATGGTTGGAATGTTGGGAGAAGTATCAAGCTTGAAAGAAAAACAAAATAAAATTGAGATTAGATAATTTCCTGTTTAATAAGAAGATATTTTAATACATGTGATAGATTGTTTGAGCTTTAACAAACTCAGATAATTTGTGATAACGGTTTCACTGGTCTCTTCGTCTGAGTAATTATGATAATTAGTAATATATTTTTTCAAAATTATTTCTTTAAAATATAATCCACATTTCAAAACCAGTTGAATAACTGACTGATTTTTATCTAATTATGCTCCATGTTCTTGAATGCAATGTTTGTTTGTTTGTTATTAAGTGAAAAGCTGCGCAATGGGCAATCAGTGTTGTACTAAACGCTGGTATCGAAACCCGTTTTTAGTGTTACAAGCCCAGAGACTTACTGCTGAGTCACTGTGTAGGGATGTGAGGGGCTAGAATGCAGAGAATTATCATTTTATTAGTAAAGTTTTAACATCCGTAGTAGTAGTCAATGTCCAAGTATGTCTAAACTGTCAAACTGTTGTTGAAATGGCTCAACTGAACCCTAGGAAAGTGTACCAGTTATAAATCAACAACACTGAAACAGCGATGACGATAAATCGACCAATTCCATCTTTAAAGTTTTATCTGGAGTCATAAACGTCAGGATTTCACGTATCGATTACTCTTCCTACAACATGACACTTGTGTTTGTCAAAAAATAACCGAATGAAGTTAATTTCTGTTATATAAATTTTTGAAAACTTAAGGCAACTGAATATTTTGTGTAAGATTAGAAAAATACAACCCGTTGTTAACTGTATGATAAACGTTAGTACTGATTCCTCTGGTGGTCAGCTTAGTAACCAAAAATAAACTTATTATTTTGAGATCGCTAGTATTTATGCAGCAGCAATGGAAGAAATAATAATGTATAGATTTAACAAAATCGGCTATAACATTAAAATAGTGTTACATCGATTAGAACAAATATCAACAACTCAGACAGCTAGATACGTAACTAGTCTCTGACTAGATTATAACGGTAAATAGTTTAGCTATCCGGGATATTCAGAAATAGAAGTAAAAATACTCCTGTTTTGTTCATTTATGATATAAACTCCCGAGCTTAATTCGTAAGAAGCTAAAACCGGTTATGGCAAAGCTCGACAGTATATGTGTTTTGTTACAAAAATAGCCTATTTTGTTATTTGTTAAGAGTATGATATAAACTCCGGGGTTTAATTCATATGAAGATAAAATATGTTATGGCGAAGCTAAACAGTATATGTGTTTTGTTACAACAATAGCCTATTTTGTTATTTGTTAAGAGTATGACATAAACTCCAGGGGTTTAGTTCATATGAAGATAAAATATGTTATGGCGAAGCTAAACAGTATACGTATTTTGTTACAAAAATAGCCTATTTTGTTATTTGTTAAGAGTATGATATAAACTCCGGGGTTTAGTTCATATGAAGATAAAATATGTTATGGCGAAGCTAAACAGTATATGTGTTTTGTTACAAAAATAGCCTATTTTGTTATTTGTTAAGAGTATGATATAAACTCCGGGGTTTAGTTCATATGAAGATAAAATATGTTATGGCGAAGCTAAACAGTATATGTGTTGTGTTACAACAATAGCCTTGAGCTGGATATAATCCAGTCAAAGTCTATTAAAACCTTGTTTCTACGCCGCCTTTCGTCTAGCCATAAAACACCTATCATCAACGCCCCAGGTGACAGGATTATGCACTGCCCAAGAGTTCTGGATAACATGTGTTATCAGTAGAAAATCAAACGTGACACCGAGTGCCAAGTAGTATATCGTAGGTCTGCAGTGTTAGAAATAGAAAACATTCCTGAAAATAAAGAAAAAAAATCGAGATAAAATATTTTGCAAGAAAACAAAAGTCGTTATGAATAAAGAATGTGGTGAAAATTAATAAATAAGTATTAGATTTACCTTTAATAACAAATAAAAACAACAACGTACACACATGTCTACTTTGCTTTGCCGCAATGTAATGCAAAGTAAACATTTTTACAGGGGACTTAAAATATCACAAACAATTTGGTAATTTTTCATCTAAAATAAATACGTTTATAAATAAAAAAAAACACATTTGAAATGAAATTTTGCTTCTCCAAATAAAGTACATATTGATAACAATTCGTTAACAAAGCGGGAACAAAAGTCAATTAAAGATGATTTAAAGTGAGTGACATATTTGATGCACAGTATTGGACGCGATAATAACAACTTGGAAATATTAAAAGCTGTTATGGTTAATAGCGTATTGCTATATTCTAATGAAAGTAATTTCATGCTATAATTTTACTAGCACCTGCAGAGACACTTGTTATTAAAGCTATTTACAATGTCTGAACGGCGCTTAATAACCCTTTTAGTTTATAATATGTCCGGTATTCTACAATTGCCCTAGCGGTATATAGAAATTACATTACACGTTAAACTTGATTAATTAGGCTTTACTGGTGAATGTGGAAAATAATTTATTTGGGAGATTCGAGGAGCCCACTACCTGATTATAGGTAGCTGCACATATTATGGTTTGTTTCATTTAAGATCAATAATTTCTGTGAAAATCTGTTATAATTATCACCAGAGGGAGCTATCACAGACAAGACTAACGCCTCTTGCATTTTTTTTCAAGCCATAGTTCTGAACCAAAATGTACAACTAATCCGTTTTATATTAAAACAATCACTTGGTATAGACTTGAATTCTTTGCTTTCGCGAGTCGCCAGGATTCTATATGAAGTAAATATTGCGATGGAGATTATCTCAAGTAATTTAGTTGAAGGCTTATTCATTGAAATTGATGCTATATATGTGAGATGAATTATTATGTTCATAGTTATATAACCAGTGATACTACACATACAGCGAACGGATATTTTATGAATTTGGCCCGGCATGGCCAGGTGGTTAAGGCACTCGACTCGCAATCTAAAGGTCGCGGGTTCGAATCCCTGTCACACCAAACATGCTCGCCATTTCAGCCGTGGAGGCGTTATAATGTGATGGTCAATTCTACTATTCGTTGGTGAAAGAGTAGTCCAAGAGTTGGCGGTGGGTGGTGATGACTAGCTGCCTTCCCTCTAGTCTTACACTGCTAAATTAGGGACGGCTAGCGCAGATAGTCCTAGTGTAGCTTTGCGTGAAATTAAGAAACAAAATTTTATGAATTCGTAATTACTTAGAACGTTTAGGCTTAGTGCACAGCTTCATTTGAAAATACGCTTGATCACTGCATCCTATGATTGTTTGTTTTGGTTGCTGTTAATCACAAGGCTACACAATTGGCTGTCCGTGTTCTGCCCATCACAAGTATCGAAACTCGGTTTTTAGCGTTTTAAGTCTGCAGACTTTCCGAAATTCAAAAATCGTCATTATCTTAGCAGAAGCTATGGAATCACTTATATTATTAATTCGAATTGTTCGTTAAATATTGAAGTTAATGAGTAAATGAAACACATAAAATATAAATTAGTATATAGTTTTATAACCTATCATACTCATTCATTAATTCAAGGAAATAAATACGTTTGATTTGTATATCTTTAAGTTTGTATATAAACTTGGTTTAAATCCGACACAAACAGATTCAGCTGTAACAGGTAGTTTAAGAAAACATGCTTGACAGCTGTATACTGACCTTTAAATACAGCACTAATCTTATACCAAGTCTTACGCATAGTGATTAATTTAAAGTTACATGAACATTTCCGTAGTTCTTCAAGTAACCACGCGAAGGTGTAACTAAACCCATTAGATATCACGTGCGTGTCGTATCCCACAACATATTAGACGTGTTCTTGCATAATAATGAATGGTCTGTAGACTTCAACAGGATGGTAGTTATATTTGTTTTTCAGAGTAAACCTTATAAAATATTCAGTTTGTGATTTTAGAAACACCTCGGAAATTAGTCACCGGAACTGTTAACAGAAATGGGATTAATGTTTAAGCGTATGCTAATATTGTTTTTCATCTAATTTTAACGTCCAGTTTATTTACACAAGGACCTAGTTTGATGAATAATCGACGGTTATCAAATTCTTTATAATGTCATGTAGTTTGTGTTTGAACTTTTGGTAACAGTCATAGACTCTTAGTAATAACACGTTGTTAACATTTAAATTTACTAGTCCTGCTCACATACCATTATGATATTTACTTGAAGAAAATTATTAGCATAGCGCTCGTAGAATGGCTCCGAGTTTGTTTTTTCAAATACAAACTTTTTGCTCATAGCCCCGTCTCTTGACCGTTTTGAGATCTAATTACAGCCGCAGCTATTGAGGACTCCCTCTTGTTTTTAGTTATAAGGTAACATACCCAAACCATTTTTAACCACCAGTCGTTCCAGTATTCTTAGAACAGGGGTATTTAAAGAAACCGCAATATTTAAAAGGGTTTTATCTTAAACACTACTTGCGTCAGAGAAACTAAGTTTCACCAAACACACATAGAGAATGATAAAAATATTGATATGGTACATGGTGTTTCAAAATCTGTCATAAAATATGTTCAATCTGCATTCCTCATTTGTAATCAACATATCAATCTCGTCTCTAAATGGATCATAATATACTCTGAACAATGGTTAATGACCATCACAATATCCTGTGTATTGTCAAATCATCAATCTCGTGTGCGTGTGTAGTTTAATATGGGCCTGGCATGGCCTGTTGGTTAGAGGACTCAACTCGTAATCTGCGGGTCGCGGGATCGAATCCCGCCACCGAACATACTTGTCCTTTCAGTCGAAGGAGTGTAATAATGTGACAGTCAATCTCACTATTCGTTGGTGAAGAGTAACCCACAAGTTGGCGGTAGGTGGTGCTGCCTTCCCTATAGTCTATAAGTTCAAAATTAGAGACTACTAGCGCAGATAGCCCTCGAATAGCTTTGCATTATTTTCGGTTACGTGTAGAGTCAGATACCTTCTCTACAGCATTATTGTTAGAACATTTAGTAAAATACATTAACTAAAGTATTATTCTCGGTTATAAGAAG